GTGCCCCTCACCCACCACCATGTGCCCCTCATTCAGCACCGTGTGACCCTCATCGAGCACCGTGTGACCCTCATCAAGCAGCGTGTGCCCCTCATCCAGTACCGTGTGCCCATTATTCAGCACTGTGTGCCCCTCATCCAGCAATGTGTGCCCCTCATCCAGTACCATGTGCCCATTATTCAGCACCGTGTGCCCCTTATCCAGCACCATGTGCCCCTCACGCAGAACAGTGTGCCCCTCCCTCATCAAGCACCATGTGCCCCTCATCCAGCACCGTGTGACACTTATCCAGCACCGTGTGACCCTCATCCAGCACCGTGTGACCCTCATCAAGCAGCGGGTGTCCCTCATCCAGTACCGTGTGCCCTATTATTCAGCACCATGTGCCCCTCATCCAGCAATGTGTGCCCCTCACCCACCACCGTGTGACCCTCATCCAGCACCGTGTGACCCTCATCAAGCAGCGTGTGCCCCTCATCCAGCAATGTGTGCTCCTCACCCACCACCGTGTGACCCTCATCCAGCACCGTGTGACCCTCATCAAGCAGCGTGTGCCCCTCATCCAGTACCGTGTGCCCATTATTCAGCACCATGTGCCCCTCATCCAGTACCGTTTGCCCATTATTCAGCACCGTGTGCCCCTTATCCAGCACCATGTGCCCCTCACGCAGCACAGTGTGCCCCATCCCTCATCTAGCACCATGTGCCCCTCATCCAGCACCGTGTGACACTTATCCAGCACACATAGATTTGCTTATTCGCTAATAGAATACTGTAAATCTATGTTCGGGGAATCTTCCCCGAACATGGATTAGCAAACGACTAGGGCTTACTTTCGGGGTAGGGCTTATATAAGGAGCATCCCCTGAAAATAAGCTAGGGCTTATTTTAGGGGGATGTCTTATTTTCGGGGAAACGCGGTAGTGATGAAATACTGATCCTGGCTGTGTTGAAAATTCATTAAAATTCCAATTAAATCCATTAAACAAATTAAAGACTAGTTTGACTCATGGACAAGCCTTGGGTTGACAAAGCTGACGATAGGTGGAGATCCACCATCAACTTTTGTTCAGTCCCAACAACTGTCGTAATTGTGTGACCGAATATGAAGAGACCCCTGAAACTGACAGATCCACTTTAACACTGCCATATTTGGAAATTCGATAGTTTTTGTCTCCCTCCCCAACCATTTCTCCCCCAATGTGAATCATTGAATATTGTTAATTTTTCCTTTGCAGCTCGTTGTATGCCCTTCAAGTATATTAAGGATTTTAAAAAGTCTAGTAAAATGATTTATGCATACAATGTTATTGTGGTGGACCCCTCATTAGGGGACACGAGTGTCCCCGCCAAGGCTCTCCTTTACCCTCCGAAGTCTCTCTACCAGCACATATATGAGTGATTAAAGCTTCAGTGTTACAACTTGTATAGTGGTCTCACCCAAGCATTAGTCAAAACTTAGTGAAGACCGAAGAAGGTTTTTTTTTTGTCACCAAATCTCACTTTTTATACCTGGGGTCTCAACAGGAGGTACTCAGGGAGAACAATAGGATTGCCATACCCCTGGCGCCCTGGTGTCTGTACCTGGGTTGGTAATTTAATTAGCAGCCAGACACCTTGGCACCGGGGCACAAAATACAGAATAGCTTAAGTTTCCGTGCCAACATCCCCAGGTAACTGGTGTCCCCTGGAAGCTTGGCTCAGAGCACCCACTTAGTTCAAACTGCACCCAGATTGGATGTGGCTAGCCTGAAATAGATGGAAGTCAATGTTTTAGTGGATCGTTGCTAACCTCCGAACTGGCGCAGCCAGGCCCGGACTGGCCATCGGGCACAGCGGGCAAATGCCCGGTAGGCCGCGGTGGCCGTGGGGCCGAGGCCGGCAGGGGAGGTCCCAGGATCTCCCCTGACGGTCTATGCAGGGCCGGCACTCTCCTAACGCCGGCCCCGCTGTTTGCCACGACGGGCCGGTGGGGAGAGCAAAGCTCTCCCTCACCGGCCCAAATGCGGCCGCCAGCGGGGAGAGAGGGAGGGAGACAGCCGCCAGGAGAGGAGGACCCTGGCAACGACCGGATCTTGCGAGAGTGAACTCTAGCCTCACAGGCTATGCAGGCTAGAGTTCACTCACCCACGAGGACCACCAGGGAACCCCGCCACCCCGCCTCCCAGTCACCAGCGTGCCGGTCCCCCCCCTCCCAGGCTAAAGGTAAGAAGGGAAGGGGGGACACATAATGCCTGTTTTTTGTTTTGGTTTATTTACCCCCCCCAACACACACAATAACATTTATACAGCACTCTCACACCCATCACCCACAGCACTCTCACACACAGTACTCTCACACACCCATCACACACAACACTATCACACACAGCACTCTCACACACCCATCACACACAGCACTCTCACACACAGCACTATCACACACAGCACTCTCACACACCCATCACACACAGCACTCTCACACACAGCACTCTCACACCCATCACCCACAGCACTCTCACACACAGCACTCTCACACACCCATCACACACAGCACTATCACACACAGCACTCTCACACACCCATCACACACAGCACTCTCACACACCCATCACACACAGCACTCTCACACACAGCACCCATCACACACAACACACACACAGCACCTCACACACCCATCACACACAGCACTCACACAAGCACACACACCACATCACACACAGCACTACTCACACACAGCACCATCACACACACACCCATCACACACACAGCACTCACACACAGCACTCCCCACACCCATCACACACAGCACCTCACACACAACACCTCACACACCCATCACACACAAAGCACCTCACAGCACACACCATCACACACAGCACCTCACAAGCACCTCACACACCCATCACACACAGCACTGGCACAATACCAAGCATCACACCCATCACACACAGCACTCACACACAGCACTACACACCCATAGCACACACAGGCACTATACACACAGCACCACCCATACACACAGCACTATCACACACAGCACTCTCACAGCACTCACAGCACATCACACACACAGCACTATCACACACCCATCACACACAGCACTATCACACACAGCACTCTCACACACCCATCACACACAGCACTATCACACACAGCACTCTCTCACACAGCACTCACAGCACTCTCTCTCACAACACTCTCTCACACAGCACTGTCTCACACCTATCACACACAGCACTCTCACACACAGCACTCTCACACCATCACACACAGCACTGTCTCACACAGCACTCTCTCACCCATCACACACAGCACTATCACACACAGCACTCTCACACACCCATCACACACAGCACTCTCACACACCCATCACACACAGCACTCTCACACACAGCACTCTCAGTTCCATGATATTCGGTGGTTGCTCCCAGTCAGGTGTGCCATTTTTCTGAAGCCTTTCTGGGTTTTCCTGATGATCTGTGATGTTGCGGTGATGGTCACTTGGCAGGGAGGTTCCCTTTGGAGATGTAGTTGAAGGGAATTATAGTTCCTTTGAGGGAGGTGGTGGTTAGAGACCAGGTGGTCTATCAACAAAAGTGTTTGTGTTCCTCCAAATCTTGTCTTTCAGGATTCTCATGGAAAAATGCTGTGAGCTCAATCATCTCTATTGTTACCCTAATCATGGATTTTCCTGTCCTTATATTAGATATATTGTGAATATTTCACAAGTTCAATATAGCTCCTCTAGTGATTAGAGCAGTATTTTCTTTTCTTTAGCTATCTATAGATCAGGAAAACAGAAAACCCCACAGATGACATAGTGTTACATGTTGGAAATGGGATGTTCATTAGACTAGCAAATTCAAAATGTTTTTATATTTTTTGGAATAGGCTATTGTATAGGAATGTAATACGCAGAACTTTCACAATTCCTCCAATAAAAGTATTTTGCCAGTTTGTACAGGCCAGGGTTTTATTTCAACTGTCACCTAGGATTTTTTATATTATATTTATGTAACCATATATATAACAAGTATGTAGTTGTGATGTCTGAAAAATATTAAAGGGACACTATTGGCACCTGGACTACGTCATCTCATTGAAGCTGTCTGGGTGCAGTGTCCCCGTCCCATGAGCCCTGCAATGTAAAGCACTGCGCTTTCCGAGAAACTGCAATCTGTAAAACTGCATGGTTAAGACAGCCACTAGAGGCGCTTCATGCTGTTTCACAGGATCTCAGCAGTGGAATCACTAAGTGGTTAAAGAGTTGTTTAACCTTTTTATGGCTGGTGGGGGAGGGTGGGACGAAGAGGCACTTTAGTGTTAGAAATATAGTTTCTACTGGATTTGCCTGGACTCATGTTATTTGCTTAGATTATGTTTTATTCAGTGTTGGAAGTTGTGAGAGTTCCCCCTTAAATGCTTGTGTATCTAAAGGTTACCACAAAGTGGGACAGATGAATGCCATGCCAAATATCATACAAGGTGCCATTATTCCCTCTAGAACCTGGGTATATATGTTCTAAAATATTAATTTGTAATATCACTTTTCACTATTATATTTTGGGTTTACTTTAAGAGGAACAGAATAAGTGAGGTTGATCAATGAGAATATATTTGGGTTATTGTCTGCTCCTGGTCTTACAGTATTCTAAGGTGTAGAGAAACTTGATAAGCATCCAATAAATATTTAAGCACATCTACTTGAGTTTCACAAACCGAGAATAATGAAGAGAGACGTGAAATAAAAGTGTTTTGAAACAGCAAAAGTATTAAAGCCTTGGTGACCCACAAGATCTCCCTATGATCACTTTGTGGACTGCTGGTTGTATTGACTCTACTTACACTTTGATATTGTTGACCCGTTTACCATTATTGAGATCCGCATCTGATCCACTTTGTAATGGATATTGGTATCTATCTACTCCTTGTTACAGTCACATAGAACTTTTCCTGCTGCCAAGGAATGCTTTGCTTTTGCTAATCCTGACGAATTTGTGTTTGCTGCACTTTTTAAAATGGGTGGTGCATGTGGTTCTGTGCCCACAGTGGTTGGTGAAGGAGTAGAAGAGCCTCTGCCTGAAGATACAGAAGAACAACTGAGCAATGGTGATGGCACTTTGGAACTGAGTGGACGAAAGATGCCACGTCTGCCAAACTCCATCTGCACCCTGTCAGACCATCTCTACAAGCTCTATCTTAGTGGTACCATGCTGACCGAGTTACCAGATGACCTGTATCAGCTGCACAACTTGCGTACTCTGGCTCTTGATGGCAACCGACTCCCTGAGCTACCAGAAGCAGTGTGCTCCTTGCCACACCTGGGACGTCTTTATTTGGGGGCAAACCGCCTGCAAGGTCTTCCACCATCATTTGCACGTCTTCAGACTCTGCGAACCCTTTGGATTGAACGCAACTTTTTTCATTATTTTCCACGAGTGTTATTAAGCATGCCTGCCTTGCGCTGTTTGCAAATGGGTGATAACCGCTTGAAGGGTCTTCCAGCTGAGATGGCTGAAGCCATGCCAGGCCTCAGAGGACTTTGGCTTTATGCAAACCGATTGGAGCGTGTACCAAAGGTTCTTTTGCGATTACAAGGACTAGAAATGTTAGATCTGGATCGGAACCGCATTACAAATTTTCCAGACATGAGTGTGATGAAAGGGTTACATTTGCTATCCTATGACCACAACCCTGTGACTCGACCACCAACTGTAGGTGACACTGTCACATTGGTGGGAGAGGGTGCCCAGGAACTTATGGAAGAACGGGAGGAGCGACGGAGACAACAGGAAGAAGAAGAAATGGAAGAACGTGAAAGAGAACAACAAGCTGCAGAGAACGACACCTGTGAAGGGGCTGTGGAAGAAGGAGAAGGTGATGAAGGTGAGGAACCATTTGAAGAGGAAGAAGAGGAACGAAAACATTTCCATGAAGACTATTATCATGAAGAAGGGGATGAAGAGTATTACCAAGAAGATGATGGATATTATCTTGATGACGAAGGTTATTACCCCATTGAGACAGATAACTATTACTCCAGACGGGATTACTAACTGCTTTTCCTATTAAAATGAATATGTAACATCTAAATCTTAACCTGAAGAACGCAACAAATCTCTTACATCTTAAATCAGTCATCGACTGAAAGCTGAATTTAGAGGTATTCTTTAAATAAGACATTGTAGTATTAGCACACGATGGCCACAGGGTCAAAAACTTCTGTACTTTTCTTCTGTACAGCCGAATGTGCTGTGACTTGCGAACAAGATTACATCACTGCCATTTTGTATAGTTTAAGCTTTAAGCACCATAACACTGCAGCCCAATGTAGTAGTTATAGTCAGGGGCGTACCTAGAGCATTTGGAACGCGGGGCGGTTCCTATTTTTGGCACCCCCCCCTTGCTCCCCCCATCAACTTTAAATATAAAAACAACTAAAAAATGTTTTAATGTATTTAGCACTAAGCAGTGTTTGTGTTTTTGAATGTATGCATGTTTTTGTATGGAGTATATGTGAGTGAATGTAGCGGTGTGTTTGTATGTAGGGTTGGCGTTTGAATGCAAGCATGCATTTGTGTGTTGTGTGGTATTTGAATGCAGTGGTATGGTTATATATAATGGTGGGGTTTGTATGTAGTGTTGATGTTGAAATGCAAGAGTGTATTTGTGTGTAGTGTTGGCGAGATTTTTAGATGTCTGCACATATACACATACACGACATACAGACACAAACACAGTCACACACAGATACACATTGACACACATGTAGACATCGTGGTGACTCTAGGAACAATATATATGGGGGGGGCACATAAGATACCACAGTCAAAACAGGAGGGGGAGGTGGAGCAGTAAAACTTCTCACTAGGGGATGGGGTAATATGCTGCCATTGGCTGTCTGATGCCAGCATGCTGTGTTCTGCATGCTGGCATCTGACTACACATTTGCATATAATTCACATTCGCCACCCAGATTTCTTGTTGTGGGCTGGCTGACACCTCTTAATTTCAATCTTTGTTTAGCAGATAACTCCTTTGTGGGATTGCCATTTTTAAGGACACCAAATAAGGTGCTATCTGCTAAACAGCACCCTCATTTGGTATCTTTAAATATGGAAATCTCACATACGGGCACCAATTCAGGGAATGATCTACTAAACAGCTAAAGGATAAAAAAGCCCTTTTCTTATTTTCAATTGTTTAGTAGATAAATCCCTTATTTGTTATCTTTATGTGGGATTGCAATATTTGAGGACAGGAAATAATGGAGCTATCTACTAAACACATACGCAGAGATACACACAATCACACACATAATCACAGATATACACAAGCACAATCACTGACCCACACACAATCACATACACACACAAACATTACATTCACACACACATTTAATAATTAAGAGGTCCATCCAGCCTCCCTACCTTGCTCTAGAAGGGCTGGAGTGGATCCTCAGTCCCTGGTGGTCAGTGGTTGCTGCTGGGATCTCTGTGCTCTTTCTCCACAGGTCCATCGCACGCCCTGTAATGACGCTGAGGCTGCGATGACATCATATCCTGGCTGCCGGCTCACTGCAGGGCGAAGAGCGTCAGACACAGTCAGATGCACACAGTCACTCACACACAGTTACAGGCAGACAGTCAAATATGCATGCAATCACACAGGCAGACAGTCACACTCACAATCACAGACAGTCACACATACACACAACACAGTCACAGACAGTCACACACACAACCACAGGCAGACAGTCACACACACACACAGTCACAGACAGTCACACACCCACCCACAATCACAGGCAGACGGTCACACACACACAGTGACACACACACAGAGTAACACAGACAATCACAGGCAGACAGTCACACACGCACACAGTCACAGATAGTCACACACACACCCACAATCACAGGCAGTCACACACACACAGTGACACACACACACAGAGTCACACAGACAATCACAGGCAGACAGTCACACACAGACAGTGACACACACAATCACAGACAGTGACACACACAATCACAGGCAGACAGTCATACGTACACATAACACAATCACAGACAGTCACACACACAATCAGTCAGAGAGTCACACACACATAGGCACACAGACAATCACAGGCAGACAATCACACAGACAATTACACAGACAATCACAGGCAGTCACACACACACACACTCAAGCAGACAATCACACACACAGTCACAGACAGTCACAATCACAGTTACACACACACACAGCACACACTCTCTCCCTTACAGTAAGTTTGGGCTGGAGGAGGAGGGGATTCAGTCCCTGCTGTGCTGTAGTTGGGGAAGCAGGGACTCCTTCCTGCTTCCCCTCTGTGTGCAGCAGTATGAGGCTGCATATAGCTCCGCCCCCACATCTGGATTGGCCCCCGCCCCCACGGCCGATCTGGCTCCGCCCCCACATCTCCGTGCAGCCCGGTCTCCTGTTGTATTCCCTGCCCCTGCGTGTGAGCTGTGTCGGCTGCCCCGCCCCTGCTGCTATGGCAACCAGTGCAGCCACACAGCTTACTGACTCCCAAGCCTGGCCAGCCCTCGTGGCACCCCCCTGCCTGATGGCACCCGGGGCGGACCGCCCCCCCGGTCCCCCGTAGTACGCCACTGGTTATAGTATTATCAGTCTGTATAGCCACGTTTTCTTTCAGACAGTTTAATAAAAGGCGGCTTCCCCGATACTCAGCCACGCGGATAATGTTAATGTGTGGATATGACTGACAGGCTGGGGGTACTGGGTTAGTCCCGGGTTAGTCCCGGGTTAGTCCCGGGTTAGTCCTGGGTTAGTCCCGGGTTAGTCCCGGGTTAGTCCCGGGTTAGTCACGGGTTAGTCCTGGGTTAGTCCCGGGTTAGTCCCGGGTTAGTCCTGGGTTAGTCTTCTCAGCATCGCAAGGTTGGATGGCATTGTACAGATAAAGCGGAAGTAAATCGTCTGCATTATCCTAGTGACTGACGAGATGTTGGCATTGAGTTCTGGGGAGAGAGACATTTTTATTGAACAGTTTGACATTAAACCAGAATGTGGTACCCAATACTCTGCAGTGTTTATAGTGCATGGATTATTTTATTAAAGTAGCCATGTCATCATCAATTTGACAAGGTTTGGAGCTCTTTAAAAGTCGATACCTTTTGTTTATAACCTTTATATTACTTTATGTTTATTATAGTTTGTTTTACTCTACTTAGAACAAATAAAAAACTGGACTCCTTTTCAGCATAAAGGTAATTCTGTATCACCAGTTCATATAAATAATGTTCCATACTTGGCTGCTGATATCACAGACTCTCACAAGGTTATTCACTAATGTGAGAATTCAAAATAAATTCAAAGTGAATTTCAAATTTAATGTCAAAATAGCCGAACTGGAAACATTGTCTAAATCAGCGATGCTCTCAGGTTGGCTATTTATTTATAAAATATTTTACCAGGAAAGATACATTAGGGTATGTGACAGAACCATCTGTCTGCTTATTTTAGGTGTATTCGTCTGTTTGTATCCTGTTCGTATGAATGACTGTTTTCTATAGCCCAGCCATTCGAATGACTTTTTTCCCCGAACAAACCTGCCGAACGGACGGCCACCCAGGAGAGAAGTGTGCTGCTGGTTAACCTATTGAACCTATTGATCCCAATTAGAACGTTGTGGTTAACCGCAGACACTTCTCAATTAAACCGAATTCAGGGTGGTCGTCGTTCGTATGTCGACCACAAGGCAGCGGCCATTTTAAACCACGCGAAAGCCCAGCGGTGTTTGGCTCTATTTCTATGGAACTAAAAACGGACACTTTTTCTGCCGAACACCGCTGAAACAACGGAACGCCTGGCTGTCTCCACGAAAGCATACGAATACCGGCCGTTCGGGAGGTTTGGAGCATACGAAAAGACTTAACCCAGATAGCCTTCCCATGGAGTCATTCGTATACCGAAAGACTGTAAGAACTTTGACCCCATTGGCGATTGAATTATGTGTGTGGGATCTGAGCGCTATTCGCTAATAATATGCACTCAGATCCAGGCTATCTGGGGATATGTGATACGAATGGGAAATGTTCGGTTATTTGAAAGTTATGCATTTTTATGTCTTTTATGATTTTACATTTAAAATGGCGACTGGCTTTGTCCTGGAGATAATTGAGTTACTTGGTAATTATCTCGAGGGCAGAGGGGAGGGAATCATAATGCACTGTGGGTAAAAACTGTGTCTATGTGTCTGGAATGTCCCCATATCTGTCTGTCATTTAAGTTTCCCATTTGGTCCCCTAGGGGAGTGTCCACCAATTGAGAGACCTGCATAAATACGGGCGGTAGCCCACAGTAAAGCCAGATCCTGTTTGACCCTCAATGCGGAGCTTCTGTCTCGTTATTGGGGGGATTTATTATTTGCGTTTAGAGACTGCTGGTTGGAAACGAAAGCCGCTTGGTGGATGTTATTGTTCGGCGGCTAGCAGCAGTTCGTGTATTGCCGTTCGGGAGTTTGGAGCCGTTCACGGATCCCGGTCGGGAGATTGCCGCTTCCCCTGCATTTGGTTCGTGCACTACAGGTTAGGCGAACGGAGCTACTGTTATTTCAGACGGGGAAGGTCTACTAAACGGCGGTTTTGCCTAAAGACACTGGAGGTGTCTTAACAGGGTACAATAAAATACAAAAACAATATTAATACACAATGTATACAAAATTTAACATAGAACAGGTAGGAAATATATAATGAACCATAACACGTGCATTCTGTCTTGAGGTAAGTAGAGAGGGATCTCTTAAAGGATTTTAGGCTTGGGGAAGATTTGAAATTGTGCAGGAGGTCGTTCCACAATTGTGGCGCTCTGTAGGAAAAGGAGGATCAGGCCGCTTTCTTTTTGTATTGAGGTAGACTAAATAAAGTGTTAGTACTGGATCGGAGGTTATAGGAGGTGGGAAAAGCTGGGGAGAGCATTCTGCTCAGGTAGGGTGGGAGTTTCCCAGAAAAGCTCTTAAAAACAAGGCTGGAAAGATGAAGGGTGCGTCTGGATTCCAGCGACAATCAGTTTAGTTCTTTCAGCATGTCACAATGGTGGGTCCTGTAATGACATTGTGGCACAAATTGGCAGAACGAGTTATACAATGTGTTGAGTTTATTAATGTGGGATTGAGATGCAGACGCATATACTACATCCCCATAATCAATGATTGGCATCAGCATTTGCTGTACAATCTTTTCCTTTACTGTAGGGCTTAGGCAGGATTTTTTTTCTGTACAGGGCACCTAGTTTTGGATAAAGTTTAGATGCAAGCTTTTCTATGTGGAGGCCAAAAGATAGATTGGGGTCTATTTGAAAGAGTGGACTGTGGTCAGTGTGCTATTTGAATTTGGTGTGATGCATAGGTGGGGATTGTGTAATTTGTGTAATTTAGGTACTGTTCCAAAGAGCATTGTGACAGCTTTGTCAGCGTTTAGGAAGAGTTTGTTTTTTGCGATCCACTTTTCTACCTCTGTGAACTGGACTTGGAGCACAGCCTCAAGCTGCGGTAGATTGGATTTGCTCGCATAGATTACCGTGTCAGACATTAGGCAGATCATTTATAAATAATGTAAATAGTAGGGGGCCAAGAATGGAACCTTGGGGAACACCACACGTGACTGGGAGAGGGAGGGAGTCGCTGTCAGAAATGGACACATATTGCGAGCGATACGATACATATGATCGAAACCAGGTTAGCGAACAATCACCAATACCTGAGTTTTTGAGTTTGTGCAGTAGACTGTCATGGTGTACTGTGTCAAAGGCCTTAGCAAAATCAAGGAAAATAGCTCCAGTTAGGGCTCCTTGTTCCATGCCAGTTTGGATGTCATTGCAAACTTTTAGGAGGGCAGTTGTAGTGGAGTGATTCTGGCGAAAGCCCGATTGATCAGGGGTCAGATAGTTAGATTGTTGGTAATACTCACAAAGTTGCGTATGGACACATTTTTCTAAGATTTTTGACAATACCGGGAGCAATGATATTGGGCGATAGTTAGAAACCAAAGTAGTGTCACCACTTTTATGGATAGGCACTACTCTCGCAGTCTTCCAAAGTTTGGGTATGTATCCAGACACCAAGGTACAGGTCTAAAAATAAACTTATCTATATTGGGCCTTTGCAAATTTAGTGGTGCCTGATCCACATTTGTAGTTTCAGGATGCGTGTCATTTATTAGCTTGGCAATCAGGGCAGTAGAGCATCCGACAAAATAATTGTTAAAGGCATTTGCTACATCTAAGGGAAGTTGCAGGGTTTGGTTACCCACTTTGACAGTGGAGGGTTGGGAGTGGATTGGGGGAGTTTGTAGCTTATTTATGACTTTCCAAAAGTTTCTAGGGTTTGAGATGTTATTGTTCAGATTTTCATAGAAATATTGGGCCTTGGCCAATTTTGTCTGTTTTGTGCATATATTTCGCCATTGTCCATATGCACCGTGATCATTCATAGAGCCAGTACGCTTAAACTTTGACTACAAAGAATCCCGAAACTGGTACATTTGGATGATGTCAGCTGTGATCCTGTGCTCCTTTTACCCTCACCTTACGCAGCGGGGCATGCAAATTCCAAATTTGTAGGAGTTCAGACTGAAAGTATTCAACAGCACAGTCTAGATCTGGGATAATGTTTAATCTGTGCCATGGGAGGTTCTTGATGTCATTTAGAAAGGATTCAAGATTAAATTTTTTGAAGGACCTAGTTATTTTAACCTTGGGAGAGGATTTAATAGCCTTTATTTTGCGCACGCAGTACACTAAACAGTGATCACTGAACGTGTTTGGGAGAACACCGACCTCCTCCTGCATTCTATCGGGAGAAGTGGAGAGAATCCAATCTAGCAGGGTATGGTTATGGCTTTTAATGTTTATGCGAGTTGGGCAGGAGATTAATTGCGTTAGCTGCAAAGTCTTAAACAGCGTGCAAGAACTGTTATTTTTAGGATTCAGTAATTCAATATTAAAATCTCCAAAGACCAACAGTTCACTTTTTGGGTTTTGAGTTATGGTTTCACTAAAGAGATGGGCTATGTCAGAAAGGGATTGCACTGGGGAGCTAGGTGGGCGGTAGATTCCTGCAACAATGATTGATTTACTGCATGGGATCTCAATTGTGCCAGAAAGGAAATCAAAGGTGGCAGGAGGGCTAAAGTTGTGTAAGGGGGTGAACTTTATGGACTTGTCAGCAAAAATTACAATGCCGCCTGTTCTTTTTGCTCTGTCATTTCTATGGCATGAATACCCATTGTAATGGCACCCCCAGGCATAAAAGGGGTTAAAAGCCGTTTAGGAGCTATTCCATTCCAGATATACAGACAGCTACTGTAGACACCAATCCACCGAACCGGAGAAGCATACGAATGCCGTAAACAGCTGAATCGGAACCATACGAATGCTGTAAACAGCCGAATAGGAAAAAACATATGAATACACTCCTAGCAGTCAAACTGGAACAGCATACAATAAATCTCCCCAAGAATGAGACAAGGCTCAATTTTGAAGGTCATGCAGGAACAGACAGAGCTGTGGGTTTATTGTTCTTACATACACATTCTTACACATTAGTACCCCCCACAGGGTTTTGGTAAACAACCAATAAACACATACAATACACTCAGACACTCCCACACAAAATCCTCCCCTCTGCCTGTGATACAATTACCTTACACAATGGGTCAATGGGTAATGTAATTATCAAAGCCAGAGAAATACAGAATAGGAAAAACCATACGAATAGGTTTATACTCCTAGCAGTCAAACTGGAACAGCATACAATAAATCCCCCCAAGAACGTGCCTTGTCTCGTTTTTGGGGGGATTTATTGTATGCTGTTTTTCCACATTATTCATAACTTGAAAAGTATGCATCACATTAACATTTTCAGAATCAGCATTCTCCGAATACAAACATATGTCAAAATCATACAAATTGGTCCATTGGTTCAAAAGATAGATCAACGTCCTTTGTGACCAAATGAAGCATGGCTTTTCTGCCCAAAACCAGTTCCACAGAGTCTTCTATCCTGGAGATAATTGAGAAGTAATCCAATTATCTCCAAGGACAGAGGCAAAACTCCATTAGCCACATGGTAGCAAAATACAGTAAAATACAATAAAATACACAAGGTTACATTTATTACATAAAATACAGACATGCAACATATCCCCAGATAGCTTAGGTCTGAGCACACATTATTACTGAATGGCACTCAGACCACACACATACAGTTCAATTGCCATGGAGCCAAAGTCTTTTATTACACGAATAGGCTCCATGGCATAGCTATCTGGGTTAAATTAGTTCATTCAGTAAATCTGAGAATCTACCGAACGCCAGGGCAGAAATACATGAATAGACCTTTCTCCATAGGAAAATAAAGTATTGAAATGCCGGTCCATAGTCAAAAGGCAGCAGGCAGGCAACCAGGCTCCTCCAATGCACAGTGGCGAGATTGGTCTCGTCACACCCATGTATTGCAATGGCAGACTCAGGTATTTTTGCGGTTAGCCACGATTCAGAGCGCACAATGATTTGGGCTTGTAATGTGAACTCCATGCTTGCAGTGCATCGATTTTTGGTAGGAAGCTGCGGATATTACAGTGCACAAAGGGCCTTTTTTAGCAGGAAGGCTAGGAATGGGATCTGTTGGGGGACCAGGGTTAGACTCTACATTATTTGCAAGGGCAAGTAACATGAGTAATAGGAATCTTAGTTTGGCAGTATTGCAATTGTAGGGTTTTATACTTTTGTGGGGTGGGGGTTGGAAGGCTTGATTTCAACACTCTCTACCAGAACTCAGCAGATAAATTACAGCAACAAAGCCGTCCATGGTATATAGGAATTTGGTTCTGAGTTTGTGGTGAATGGGGCCTAAGAGGGTAGTGGTAGGAACATAACAGGAGTGTGAGAGGGTTACAAGGAATATTAACCCGGTCAAATTTGGAGCCATGAACAGGAGGGGAGAAGATGGAAACACAAATACTGCATATAGGGTGAGGAAGTGGTACTTACACTACACATGTGGCTAGGTACAGAACACAAACATAAATGCAGCAAGCACAGCAGCCTTACGTTTACATTTTCTTTTGTGTTACATTTTCAAGATGGTCGCCGCCACAATCTAAA